AAAGCTTAAACCTCTGCAGTGCTCAAGCTTTACACCCACCCTTAACAGCTGGATGAGCCAAGCGTTGGTCTCTCTGGGCTATCGGCCAAGTGGGGCTTTTGGATCCCTTGTGTACAGGGTTTTAATGGGTGGAGACGAGGTGTGAAAAAAATCTCCCTCCAAAGAATCAGATAATTTCTAGGAGAGGTTCAGGGCTTTGCTTAAGATTATAGCATCTAAGTATGATAGTTGTGAATAATCATAATATTCTGCCTCAGAAAAGCTACTGTGTATCTACTGAATAGATGAATTTCCTTCCAGCTCCCATAAAATAATTATTGCTGATATTAGGAAAAGATCACCAGGATATTTAAGTGTTCATGGGAACGTCTTAAGAGCACAGGTCTCCAAACTTGGCAAATTTTAAGACTTGTAGGCTTCAACATTCCTAAGTTTGTCTGGCTGAGGAATTCTGGGAGTTGAAGTCCTCAAGTCTTAAAGTGGCCAAGTTTGGGGAGCCCTCCTTGTCTTAGAGGCCTAATTCAGTCCTTTTTGAAGTCCTACTGATTTTAACAGGAAATACGTGTCTTTTTCATCTCTCCTATTTAAGTCTAAAATAAGCTATATTAAACATGGCTTCTAAGAAATACACGGGGGCTTATCCCATGATGTAGAATTTTAGCTATGCGCTGTGCTTGGGTCTCTGGAAGTGAAGACCAAGCACCTCAGGCTGAAGGCAGCTACTCCAAGTACAGAATGAAATATTCTGATACTATCTACTCTGAAATCAGGGGGAATTGATGTAATTGGAGAGCTCCGTCCATAGTTTCCTTCCTACAGTGACTTATAAGGAAGTTGCAGGTTTGAAGAATCTATTATGATGAAAGTCTCCTATAGATAATGTGTAATTTTATGTATCATCATACAATAAATATTTTTGTTACGAGCTTTGAGTCTGTATCTCTCTCACACAGACAAATGTACTGAGAAACACCAAGTGAAATTCTATTCTTGGTTGAAGGCCAGACTGTGTTTACACTTTGCATTTTCTGAACTATCCATCAAGTTTTCCAACTCTCGTAAACCACAACAGAGACTTTTAACGTCAAAATTGTTAGCTAAAGGTACCAAAATAGTCACCTAAAGGGTTTCAGACCACATCTTAGTGAGAAAAGAGACATAAAGTTCTCCAACACAGTTACACCCTTGGCTGCAGCCACCCCCAGAATAAACACCTCCCAGCACTCCCCAGAATTATCCAAAACTCAGGGATCTGCAGGAAATCAGGACACACATTTCTCAAGGGGTGGGTGGAAGCCCCTGCCCCCCCCCCAGCTCATTTCAATGCAACTCAGTGCATCTTACTTGGTAAGAGTGCCAAAGGGGCCCTGGACAAATGCCCCACTGGACATGGATAGGAAGACGGCTCCCACAAGGTGGCCCATTCGGCCACGGAAGGTGAAGCACAAGCTTTTTCAAATCCAACCAGCAAAAAGGCAACCGCAGAATTGAAAACACCTGAAGCACAGGTAGGTCTCTAGGCCAGTCTCTCTCCACCTTGACAACTTTAAGAGGGTTGGATTTCAACTCCCCAGCCACCTCTAGGGAAGCCATCCTGGCCCAGCCTGAGATCCACACGCCTTCAAAAATGTTGATCCAGAATACAGGCTTCACAGTCCTTTTCTCCCAGCCAAGATTTAAAATGTACGCTTGCGTTTTCACAAGGATCTAACATAGAGTCCGATCATATTAATAGTGATTAGGAAGTCTTCTGGAAGATGACCATTATTCACACTGGGAGCAGGCAGAAAACCAAGGTCCATGAAGTTGAAAGAAAAGGGAGGGGGAAAGAGGAGCCAAGGGTGGATGGTGTGCAGCCACTAAGAAGGAAGGGGATTCATCCTTTTCAAAAGCCAAGCAAAACAAAAGCAAAGCTGATTTTGTGCAGAAATAGCAATCAGTATGTGTGATACACATCATCGACTCACACGAGGGCAAGACAGTTTGTTCCACCTACCTGCCAGGGCCTGCAAGACCCAAGGACCACGGCTAGCAGGATGTTGAGCTCCTCCATGGCTTACAAGCCACAACAGTAAGGCCCCATCATCATCCTAAGCCACAAACTAACCACATTATGATTTAAAGAGAGGGAACCTCACTGCAAGTGCCTGGATTGTAAACTAGTCCCAAGTCAGCTGAATGGCCTGGACCAGAGCTCTGCTGCCCCCTGGTGGGCACCAGAGGCCAGTCAGTCTGTCCATCCAAGGACAGACAAGGATGCACTTGCATTTTTCAAAAACTATGTAACTTTCCTTCTAATTGTGAATTATTCTAGAATATAATTTATTTTGACAAAACAATCCCTAATGTTAGAATACGGCAATACCAACGCAAAGCTCTATTTCAGTATAATTGACCTTACCATATTTCCTGTTTCATCACTTCTCTAATTACCAAATCCTTTGTCTGTCTTAATTGCAGTTCGAAGCCCTGCACTCCGCTAAGCAAATGAGCGACAGACACATCCAGCGCAACATACCAAAGTGGCTACCCGTCGTAATGGATTTTATTCTTTCCCATCTGAAAATAAGACGTGGTGAAAGCACTTGGTACATGTACATACCCCGTTTATTTTAAAAAAAGCTGGCAAGTATTATACAAGTACTATACAGAGGTTTCTTCTTCTGATCTCACATGCAGCACAGGAGCCTGAAGGTGGAACTGGGCAGGTAATACTTGAAACACCCCTAAAATGGGGGGAGGGGGCGATGAAAGGAGAGGCCGCCTTCTCTCTCCGGGACCAGGGGAAGGGAAAGCCCTCCATGGGGAGCAAGGTCCAAGGGCCTCCCCCCCCTCTCAGAGAAGGGCCAGAAGTCCAGAGCCCAGTCCAGCGGGCAGGGAGTCACCGGGGGGGGGGCTCCAGCGCCCAGAACTAAGGAGGCCTGGCTTCCTTTGCAAGCGGCCTGCTCTGCCCAAGCAAAGGAGGGGAGGCCGGCCCCAACGCCCTGGCTGACCGCCTGGCAGAGCCTTGGCCACCGGTTGCTCCATCCCGCGGCCCTTTTCCCAACTGGCCGCCCCTCATCCGATGTGCTTTGCCGCTGCAGGCCGGCTCTTCAGGCTGGAGGAGGGCAAGAGGCCTTCCCTGCCCTCGGGGCCTCCGGGTGGCTGCCCAGGCGATCGACTCCCCCCCCCCCCAGACTAAGGCGGCTGCACTCAGGCAACGGCGGCCTCTTACAAAAAAACCCAGCAGGGAATTCTGCCGTTAAAACAACGGACAGGAACAAAAACTAATTTTTTAACGTTATAAAGGTAAGTTAATTGAGTGTTAACTTTACAACACCAAGCTTAAAGTGGATTTCCTATGGCCTTACTCAAATTATGTACACTGTAGCACAGCTAGAAGTAAGAAAATAGCATTTTTTTTTTTAATAAAACAGAGTAAATACCCCAATATGCTGCTGCTTCAAAAAGCACTTTATAACATTTCGACTAGTTGCAGGCCCTCCGGAGGGAACCTCCTCAGAGACGAAGGTTGGTTGGCAGAACCCGAGATATGGAAGGAAAGGAGACCAAGAGGAAAGCTGAGGGAAGGGGGGGGGCACAACAGGCACGAGTGCCTGGGTGTCACAGCGATGCTGGGAGGGGAGCCTACAATCAGGAGGGACTCGGGGGGGGGCACACCCCCGTCTCAAAGAAAGCACTTTGCACCCCTTGGGTGGAAGTGGAGATGAGGCAGACTCTGCCCATGTGCAGAGAGCAAGGCCCGGCAGGGTGGCTCACCTGCTCCAGGTACTCCCCCCCCCCAAAGCAAGATGGCCATCAGTGCTCAGGAATGAAACCCTGCCAGGTGAACTGAGTGGGCTGGCGGGAAGGCCGTGCTTCCCAGGTGAGGCGGTGGAGCCAGGAGTCGCCCCGCGCAGACGGTTGGTTTGGCACGTCAACGAAAGCAAAGCGCCCGTTCAGAGGAGCCCGGTTGTGGCATCGCACCCCAAGCCTGGAAAGGCAAAGGCAGCTCAGCTTCAGCGAGTCCAAGACGGGGGTCGTGGAGGGCCAAGGAAAGGCCTCGCCCAGTCATCGCTTCCTGGGGGGGGGGGGGGGGGGGGGGTCCCTCTCTCGGCGTTCAGAGAGCCGCCGCCCGCCATTAATGCAAGGAGGGACACCGCGTTCAACCGGATGCCCCAAGAAACAGACCTCGAGCCCCAGCAGAGCCAGATTGAGGGGGGCAGGGGAGATGCTGTGAGGGGCGAGGGGGACATCCAGCGGCCAGAAAAGCAAACCCACCTGGACCTACGCAGGTTTGTGTGTTTGTGAAACCACCCGAACCCCACAGGAGCCTCTAAGCGCTTTGGGTTTTCCACCTCCACATGATGGTGGCATCCCTGGAGGGCGGGGGGGGGGGGGGAATTCAGAACCTGTGCCCACCCGACGTGCACCCGTTTCCCACCAGCAGCAGTTCCCCTTTCCAAGGCCCCGGGGTCTTCCAGCCAGCCTCCCTGCTGGACTGCAGGTCAACCGTCTGCAGATGGGCTGCCGTCTCCGAGAGCCACGGAGGCCCCCAGCCCGGCCTGAGAGTCCCCAGCTGCCCCTGGGGAGGGCAGGATAAACAAAGAGGTTGGTAGTCGCTGAAAAGGAAGAAAAGAAACAGACCCAGCCGGCCCACCAAGCAACTACTTGCCTCGATGACCCGGCCCTAACTTTCAACCGAGGACTAAGAGAGATGGGCAAAGAAAATACTCAGCAGTTTCTGAAGCAGGCAGTGAAAGAAAGAAAGAAGGAAGGAAGGAAAGGAAGGACGAAAACGGAGCTCCGGCAGGCGGGAGTCTCTCAACTTCACAGCTTCCATGTCTCGGAGGGGGGAGGCGGACGATGGAGCCAACAGAGAGAGAGAGAGAGAGAGAGAAGAGAGAGAGTCCCATCCATTCTCTCGGTTCCGCCCATCGTTCCAGGTCCAAATGGAGCCCTCAGCAGCAGCAGCCGGGCGGGGGGAGCCTGCGCTCCCAGAGAAGCAGGAAAGGTGTGTATTTTTTTTTGTTCTAGGGATGCTGCAGTCTCTTACGAGGAGTTCATCAAAGGAGCGAGCATCGGAAGAAGCTGCTCTTCTTCGACCGGTTCTCTGTGATCTTCACGGGCCCACTCGCCCCTGCCGCAAGGTTGTCGTTCTAGGCAGAGAGGCAAGAAGGAGGAGGAGGAGGAGGTGAGGGGTACTCAGCGGAGGGGGGGGGGGGGGGGGGGAGCACTGGGAATGCAAGGGACGGTTTGTAGGTTTCTTTTTGAACTCTGCCAGGTGTGGGGGGTTTGGGTTGGTTTTTTTCTTCTTTTTTTACTCTGAAACATTCCCCTTTTTCTTTTGAAATAGGAGTGAAGTGTGATTCCCATGAAATTCGGAAAAGGGCCAGGGGTTCAGAAAGTACCAAAGCAGACACTGGCCGGCCCCGTGACGAAAACAGGCACGGGAAATGCTTATGTCAATCTCAGTCGGGCAGGAGGAAGTTCCCTCTCAATTAGGATTATCCGGCAGGTCAGGGAACAATCAGGAAAACAAAGTGCTTGCTTTCGTGCAACAGAGCAGGCGACAAAAGCGTCCAGTTTGTGTTTGTTCACCGGTCAGTCCAGGACATCTGGGAAAACCTAAAGCGGGGCTCTCCAACCTTGGCCACTTCGAACCAGCTTTGCTGGCTGGGGAATTCTGGGAGTTGAAGTCCGCCAGGCTTAAAGTGGCCCAGGTTGCAGAGCCCTGATCTAGAGGAGACGAAACCCTTGGCCTGAAACGGAAGGAGGAAGATCCCGCCGAGGGGCGGTGCAAGAGCTTCGACCCCCTCGACCCTCCTCGCCTTCAAAGCCACCACCACGTTCTGGGCAAACGGGAAGGAAAGCCACAAAATCCCAGGAGCCGAAAGGCTGCTAAGTGTCAAGCCAGGCCTCCTGCCCGGGGGCCCCTGCTCCTTCAAAGGCTCGTTGGCCTAGCCCCGGGTTCGGATTCCCCAGCTGGCCATCCAGGCGGCCTCGGGGGGACCCTCCCTCAGATCCCCCTGCAAAGTGCTCCAAATAAATACAGCAGGCGCAGAGGCTGAAGGGGGCTGAAGTGAGACGGTGGGGATGATGGGTTGTAAATCTCTGCAGCCTTTCTTTGACAGCTGGGATATCAGAGTTTACAAGTTTATAGCTTACAGATACGCAAGAGAGGAAAACGTGGTTTCTTTACCGCAATGGAAGTATATCATAGTGTCCACTGATTTTATTGCCTTTGTCTAATTTTAACCCCCATTGGAATTTTACCTAGTTTGAAATACTTGTTTATTATGCTTCATTACTGTAAGGCCATTTTGTGGCCTGACTTTTTATTGTCCTGATCATTGATCAAATAAACCTTTGCCCTACTAACTGTTGTTAGTTTTTGCTTGTTAATTTTGCTTGTGGTTGGACTGCACCCTGGGGTGGGTGGGTGGGCTTTACACCCCTCTTCTCTTTTCCTACCAGGCAGCGGGAGGGGAGGGGCTCGCTAAGGCTGCGATAAGCCCACGCAGGGCTCCCAGTCCCTCCCCAGCACAGAGGGCCAGGTGCTCAGCCCCTGGAGGGAACATTTCCAGCAGCCTTGGAGCTGCTTAGCCCCGCAACCCCGCGCAGAAGCCTGGCTAGTCAGGACATGGGAGCACTTAGAGAAACCAACCATTTTTTTGTTGAGTTTTGTCATAATGTCCCGTGCGAGGGTGAAGAAAGCCTGCAAGGAAGAGAAAAGACCTGATGAGAACTACGAGACCCAAATCATGTATTTATTCTTTATTAAACTTAAACCGACTGGCCGCCCAACTCCAGAGGACTTCAGACAATGACTTGCAGAAATTGACTTCCATTGACTTGCAATGGAGTGCAGAATGAAGCCCTTTAGGCGACTATTATGCTTCAGGGGCCTTTCTCAAACGTTGAGCTATGAATTCCAATCCAGAAATTTCCCTCCAAATACCCAGGCTGGCACCCACCCCACCCTCCCCAGATAGGGGTGGCCCCAGCGGGCACCAGCCTTGCCCCCCAGAAGGCAGAAGCGTTGAGAGTCCGCTCTCTGCCACTGAAGGGCAAAGCAAGACCTGGGGCCCCCGGTCCCTCTGTGCCAGCCCCTGACCAGACTCGGGGGGGCTGCCAGGTGACCGAGATGGGCTGGGTCTCATCGTCCCCCCGCCCCCTTTTCACCAAAGAGGCCAAGAGGTGCTGGATGGAGCCTTTGCCACAGAGCAGCAGACTTTCCAGTCCACAAACACGCCGCAGCAGCCAGGACGTCTTGAAACGCTTGGGAGGCAGAAAGGGCTGGTGTGTGTGTGTGTGTGTCCAGCTGCCCCCTCTCTCTCCCAGGCATCAGCTTCGTGGCTGCAGGTCAGACCCCTGCTGGCACCTACGTGGGGCTTACCTCTTCCACGTTGATGCTGGACTTGGCACTGGTTTCCAGAAATTTGATGCCATAGTCGATTGCTAACTGCAATATGAAGATTTCAACAAGCAACCAGTCAGATCCAGCCATTTCACGAACGGCCAAGTTTGAAGGTAAGTTTTGACCCCCGAAGCCCTTACCTTCTTTAGCTGGGCAACAAGGACACCTGCCTGCAAAACCACCACTGAAGGCAAAACCGGGGTCGGGGGGGGCTGGGGGGGAATCTGGGGGGGGGGGGAGAATCCCCTTTCCAAGTAAGTTTACGAAAAGCAGCTCAAGGAGCAGATCCTGCCTTTCCATCACATTTAGGAGTCGGAAAAGGGGGTGCTGAAACCCTCCTGATTTTTGGCCCCCCCGGACTGCCACTGTTCCTCCCCCCCCCTCCCCTGCCTCCCAAGGAAAAAGCGGCTCCGATATAAGAAACTCTGTTTTCATGAGATTTACCTTTTCTCCTTTCTCCTTTGAAACTTGCCTTTTGTCATTCATGTCAGATTTGTTGCCCAGGATCATCCTTTCCACATCCGAAGAAGCGTGCTGGGCCGAGGGAGGAGGAAGCGAGTTAAGGAGAGCAGCCTCACGGGGCCCAAAGCCCTGGGAGGTGGGGGGGGTCTCTCTCCAGGAAGCCCAGGGCCCACTTCCTGCCCCAGAGGGTCTCCCTTGGCAAGGCCCGTCCTTCTAAGGCCCGCTCTGCACCAGGGGGGTAAACAAAGCTTCAGCAATCGGAGGAGGAGGAGGAGGAGGAGGAGGAGAGGAAACCGGCGAGGCCCCAGCCCAAAAGGACTGAGCAGGACTCCTGCCAACCGGAGAGGAAATCTGGGAGGCCATGACTCAAGGAGAAAAAATGGAACAATGGAAGCTCAAGCGCGGAGAAGTGACAGGCACAAACTCCCTTGGCCCTTGTGTCCGCTTTGTGCCGCAGAAGAGCTCCGCGGGGGGAGGGGGGGGATCCTTGGTCAGTTTCTCCCCCTCCCCCCAAGCCCTTCCGCGTCTTCCCTACGGGGGGGGCCCTGCGAAGGCCCCCACGGGGCGGGTGGGCTTCTCATCTCTTTCCCTTCCAGGCAGGCCTACCTCTTCGATGTTCCTGATCCAGTTCTTAATGTTGTCAAAAGACTTTTCATTGGTGATATCATAGACCAGCATTATCCCCTGGGGGAGAAACGAAGAGCGCAGCCGTCATCGTCCCACGGCAGCCACAATACGTCCTCCTGTGCCAGTTAAAATCCTTCCTTCACCTCTCCCTCCTGGGTCCCCTGTGGATGTCTACGCTTCTTAACCGAGAAGTTCCTCACAAACGAAGACGCAGCCACGGCCTCCCTTCCTTCTGTTGCAGCTTCTCCATCCAAGATCTGGCCTCTTGGCTTCAGCCCGAGACCCCGGCAAGCCCCCTGGGAGGGCCAGAGGCAGAGTGCCCCCCCTCCTCTGTGCCCCAGCATCCTGCCTGAGGCTCCTTCAGCTGCAGCTGGAAAGGCCCCGGCCACACACACACACACACACACCCGCCCCCCCCACAGCGCCCGCCCTGCCCAGCGGCCCCCCCCGGGCCCGGGGGGGGGGGGGGGGGAGCAGAAGTAAGAGGAGGCCAGGCTGGTCGAGGAGGAAGGCAGAAGAGCCCCTCGCCCACCCCCACATGCACCCAGGCCCACGGGACCCACCCACCCACTTCCATCCCGCTCCTGCGTCAACCATTTCTGACTCTTTCTTTTGGCTCTGGGCTCCTCTGCCCCCTCCCTTCTTGGGCCGGCTGTAAACAGTCCCCCGGCCACCTCAGCGAGGGGCAAAGCTCTTCGAATGGGCCGCAGTTCCCGTCCTGCCAATTCGGCTGCTTGTGAAAACCTCCACTTAAGGCTTAATGACGTCATCCTTAGCGGCCCGCCTTTTTTTATTGGGGGGGGGGCAGGGGACCGAGAGAGTCGAGGCCCCAGACTCTGACCCTCCCGAGCAAGCCCACCACCAGTGGCTGGCTGCGGCAGGGGGGCTTCAGGTGAGCGTGTCGCAAAGGAAGCCCGGGACCCCCACTCACCATGGCCCCTCGGTAGTAGGCCGTCGTGATGGTGCGGAACCTCTCCTGGCCTGCGGTGTCCCTGGAAACCAAGACACACTGTCAGAGCGAGCGGGGGGGGGGGGGGCGCAGAGGGGAATCCAGGGCTTCCTCCCCTTTTCCCAAACACCCATCACAATGCTGGGCTTCCGGCTGGACCCCCGCACAGACCTCTGGCCACCCTCTGGCTGAGCAGAACCTGGAACCCGGCCTAGCTGCAGACTGAAGAGCAGCTCCACCCGAGGAGCCCAAAGCCTCTAAAATGCAGCTTGCAGGCCCACCCTTGGCCCCCCCCCCCCCCCAATACCCCCCCCCCCCCCCCCCCCCCCCGGTGTTCGGCTCGTGCACGTTCTCCTCGCTCCGCCCGGTTTCCATTAAATGCTGGTGAAAGGGTGCCTTAAATCCAGACATCTTGGACAAAGTCCAAAAGAGCCAGGGAGGCCGAATGACTGCCACGCCCAGGGAGGCTTCCTTATGCCAGCCCAGATACGAGTCCCGTTTGTCTGTGTGGAGGAAGACCTCGGTTTCAGGAGCTGCCACCTGCACCCGCAAGCCAGTGGCGCTCTGATCACTTACCATATCTGCAGTTTGATTTTCTTCCCATCTAGTTCTATTGTTCTGATTTTAAAGTCAATTCCTGAATAAATAAAATGAAAAGGAGGGGAGTTACATTAGACCTCATTTCTGTCTTGCTGCAAAACCCTCCCCTGCATCCGAGAATTTAGAACAAGCAAAGCACCTTCGGGATCAAACCCACTCAAATCTACACACACACACACACACACACACACACACCTTATTCAGTGAATTCTGGCTGAAGCGTTCCAAAAGAAAAGCCACTATTTAAATTAAGGGTAACCCTGGTTGCGCTGGGAACAGCAAGAACTCAAACCACAGTTCCACCTGGCCTAACATTCCCGTTTTTTTTCCCAGGGGGTTTCCCCCCCCCCCCCAGCAGAGATGCAGCTGTGCCCACAAAGACGTTGTTGTCCACTCACAGGGAAGAGAAATGTGCAACGTTGGAGCTACGAGAAGCATTCTGGGCGATTCCCCAGAGCTCCATAACCCAGGGAGTGGATTCCAGCCACGGGGCCTGGTGGAGTTTTCCCTCTTTTTCTTTCAGGGCGACAATGGAAAGTCTGACTAAAGCTGGCAGCTCTCTCCCTCTGCGAGGGGCTGTCCTGAGCCACCCACCGGCGCTTCCTCCCCCTCCTCCTCCTCCCTCCCTTCGGCGACAGGAAGTGGTGCGCCGCTGCATCCCTCAGCACTAGAGGCCTGCTGACTGCCGGCTGCCGCTTCCGGAGGAGCAGGTTGCAAGAGACCCGCTGGGGCAGAGAAATGAGCCCAGAGCAGAGCCTGCGGATGACATTCTGAGCCTGGCTGTTTCCCTCTCCTCTCTCTTCTCCGCCCGCAGGTGCAGAGTCTCCTCTCTCACTAAGATGCACAACTGGAGCATCGGCCACTGGACCGAGGTTGCTCAATGCTGGCAGCTTGAAGACGGGTGGATTTCAAGTCCCAGAATTTCCCAGCCACCCTGGCTGGCTGGCTGGCTGGGGGATTCTGGGAGTTGAAATCCACCCGTCTTCAAGTAGCCGAGGTGGAGAAACATTGCACTAAGCGAAGGCCTGGTTTCAAGGGGAAGGCAAACGGAAGACCTTGGCTAGTACCCCACCCCCCTCCAGGGCCGATTCCAAATTCCGACAGGCACAGATCGGCATGGATATCCGCGCAGAGAAAGGGCCCCTCGGAAGAGCAGAGTCTACGGGAACACAGAGGAGGCTCCCTCCAAGGTGGAGCTCCCCTCTCACGCATCCACTCCAAAGACTCAAGGGCTTCTCCAGCTTGGACCCGGCAGGGCCCGAGAAACGGGGTTCCCACCTGCCCTGGGCCAAAGGGGCAGAAGGAGGCCGAGAGACTTCGGGAAGGAGGATGTGAGGCGAGCTAACTGGCGCAGGTCCCGCTCCCAGAGGGGCTCCAGCCGTGCTTGGGGGCTCCTTCTGTGCTGGGCCCTGCGCCAGCCAGCCCTGCCCTGACTCAAGCAAGGGGGATCCTTTGGGGAGCAGAAGGCCCATCCCCAATTAGGGCAAAGGGAAGGATTTTGGAGGACGGCGCTTGGTGCCTGCTGACCGTGTAGGCAAGGACACGAATTTTCCTAGCAACAAGACGGAAGCGGTTTCCTCCTGGCCTCCCTCCCAGCCAGGTCTCTCGCTTCAGGGTTCCCAAGGACGCTGCCTCCAAAGACCGCAGTCGCCTCTGCCTGCCACGCTACCAGCCGCCAGCATCACGCGCCCTGTTTTTGTGGGGGCCCCCAAGGGTGGCCTTGAGCCTCCTCCCCACCTGCAGCCACCCCTCCTCGACCCCTCTGGTGCGAGGGCTGCTCTTTGGGAAAAGAGCTCAAGGCCAGCAGGGAAAAGGGGGCGCCGGGACCTTCCCCAGCACCGAAAGGGAAGGCGGCTGACCCGCACAGATTCCACAGGCAGGCATTGGCAACAAGAACAAAGACGGGCTTTGAGGGAAGGAATGCAGGTCAAGGAAGAGCACCGTCCTTCTTCCCCAGCCTGCCTTCGTGCAGCAGCCACCGTCCCTCTCTCTCTCCTTTCCTGGCTGGTCCACTTCTTCCGCTCTCAACTAGGGCAACTTTATGACCTGTGGACTTCAACTCCCACAATTCCTCAGCCAGCCATGCTGCTTCAGGGATTCTGGGAGTTGACCCCCACAGGCTGTAAAGTCGCCACAGTTGCCCGTCTCTGGCTTGGGCCTTCACTGCAAACAACAGACTTTCAATTCCCAGCCTGTCCATCAACAAGCTGGTAAAAAAAGAAGTAGAGCTTTTTTTTCTTTAGAGGGAGTTTAACAGACTAGGAGACAGCAAAGGTCCTGGAGGGGAAGTTTCATCCTTGCAGGAGGCAGGATCTCCATCTGGCTGGCCTCTTCTGAAAACCACGCCAAGCGACCGACAAAATGCCCAACGGGACTGCAGGAGGAGAGGCGCCTCAGTCTGTGGCTTTGTGACAAGAGGCAAGATTTTGTGAGGGGCAGCCTCCAACACACGTGATCGACACCTGACGAAAGGAGGCGCATGAAGGATGACTTGCTGGTTTCAATTATGCTTTGAAAAGCTTCGAAGACGCTAAATGCCTCCACAGGAAGGACGGTTTCATTGGCCTTCCCGGTACTGTCCGGCATGCCCCGCTGGACCTCCCTGTTGCTGCATGAGCATGCCGGTCTTTGGAGGGGAAAAAAACCACAGAGTAGCACAAAGACACCAAGACCCCTTCCATTTCATGGCAAGGACCAGGTAGCCCCTTTCATGCCCAGGTAGCCTTGGACGTACAACCTCAATCGAGCTGGGAATTCCAGTCCTAAGTCATTGGGGTCATAAATTGAAGTGCCCACGTGAGCAGAAGCAATCTTGGTGGACCTTCCCATGAAGTGAACGTGGCGGTTTAGAAGCATCTGAACCTGAATCAGGTTTCTGTCCAAAGACGTTCTGAGTCGTGGTCACGTGACCAGGGACCACCGCAACCAGTTGTAGGTTTGCCCCTTTTGGAATCTCCTGGGGGAGCAAACATTTGACTTTCCCAAAAGGGGGAAAAGGGCCTGGGCGATGGTAACGGGGCTCCTTAGAGGGACCAATCCTAAGGGAAGAGCCGGGGGCAGCGCCCTAGAGGCTCCGGCCAGGTAGGTAGCCTAGCACAGGCCGCCTGAAACCCAGCACTGGAGTCCCTGTTGCTATACAACAACACGCCACACACGGCCACCTGGCCCGCCACTTTGGAGGCATTTCCACACCCGGAGGTTTATCCTGCTCTCCTGGGTGGTGTGAGATCCTTGGCTCCTTGGCTCTGGGACCGTCTTCACGGCTTCAGGGAATTGGGTGTCTCATTATGGTTGAATGTTGCAAATAATCATGTTTACTGGGTTCTCAACCACAAATTCCTGAAGATGGAAGAATGGAAAATAAAAAAAACTCTTTAAACTTGGTAAGGCATAATTAATCCTGTCGCAGACAAAGGGTGGGAAAAATAGGCACAGATGTTCTATTCTTGTATCCTTATACACTCCTGTTAACCACCGCAATTAATAACTCTGGTAGCCAATGCAGTCCCCATAGAATAGGGGAGGTGTTTTTGAACCATCTGCAGTTTCTACATAACTGTCCAAACCAGCCCCATGTATGAGTTGGGTTCAAGCAGACCCTCCCCCCTGTGGTCAAGGCACTCCAAAACCCGGCCTTTTCTTTAAAGTGGACCACAGAGACTTTAGCCTGGAATGGACCCTTCAGAGGGACCATCTTTGTGGAACAAAGACTCACAATTTCACTTCTCAATTACGCCTTAAAGGCCCAACTGCTAGCCACAGATGCACCAGCACGGGGAATCGGATCCCTTTTCTAGAGGGAAGCCGTGGGATCCTTCCTACTCAGAGCTTAGGATCTCTCTCCTCTATAAGATGACACAGGCTGGCAAAGCCCTGGCATTGCACTGGATTATCGGGTGGCCTTTGTCCACCCTAATTTGTCAACCTAGTCCTAGGCCAAAGGAGCAGAGAAGTAATCCGATGTTGTTGCTTAATACACAGGTGAAGTTGTGGCCTGTATTTCACACTGTCCACATCAGCAGCCCTGCAGGGGGAAACCTTCCCAGGAACCCCATCCAGGAACGACACTTCCCCGGGAGCGAGCGCTGTCCAACCAAAGGGACTGACAGGTTCTCCGTGGCCCTGTGAGGCTCCTTTAGGGAGGTGTTGCAATGGTTGCATGCCCCTCTCCCAGCCCAGCAGAGACCTCTCCACAGCTGGATCGCTGCTCAGAGAGAAATTCAGGCCTGCAAGTAACTTTCCATCAAGATGCCTCAGGATTCCACTCTGACTTCAGCAGGGAGGAATGCAGGCAGAGGAAGTTCGCAGGGCCGACCGATTTCTCTTCTCAAGAGAGAAGGAGTTTCCCCTTTAAGAGTGTTTGGCATCCATGGGGCATCCTTCTCCCCCTTTAGAGGGGGGTCCAGGTCAGACCCCTCCTTTCTATCTGAAGGATCAAGAGACCCATCCAGCCTTTGAGTCAGAATAAGATTAGTGGGTTCATCTGTTATCTCCCAAGCAGCTTTCAAATCTCATTCAAGCCCAACAATAGCATGGCAAAAAAAGAAAAGAAAGGAAAATCCCATTCTTTATTTTAACAGGTAGATTGAAAAAGAAAACTTCACAAGCTGAATATCCTAGTCAGATCATGCCTATTGCAGCACAATTCTGGAAATAGACTCCACAGCCCTAAAGGAAAGTTCAGCTGGATCTGCTCAAGACCGTAACCGTTCTGTACTCTGGTCATTGCCTAAAGGTGGTTAATATAAGTTGGTCTACTACCACATCAGAAAGGAGAGGATAAGGCTCAATTATTTTTTATGTTCAGAGCAACACTTAAGCTGCCCAAATGTAACAACAGGGTATAGAGTAAGGTGCTAGCAAGAGTTTAACCACAGTACAGGCATGCGACGACCTCAGTGGAAAATTGCTAGGATATCTCAGGCAACCAAAAAGTGAGGTTAGTGTTGAACACGGAGTTATATTTTGTGGTTTTACAACGGAACATTGGTAGTGATTAAAAATCTATTCAGATAACATTGAACTATGAAACGCGTC